GGCCACAACGCAGAGTACTAACCACTATACGATCACGGCGAGCTAATCAGCAGCTGCGCAGTTGAGGCAGATTTAGATCATATAATTAAACGGAAAAGATTTCAGTCTGTATAGCAGTATAGGAGTATATGCTACTCTGCAGCTCGTCGATGAATTTGTGAATATATTGACATTTTTAGGATTCTTTGATAAACTTTTAAAAAGAACTTTAAAAGAAAAGCATTTATTTAAATAGAAATATTTTGTAACATTATAAAGGACTTTACTATCAATTTTGATCCATTTAATCTCTTTGCTGAATAAAAGCATCACATTTCTTAAAAACTCCCAAACTTCGGAATGACAATGTATCAAAGTTTCCTCAAAAATATGAAGCTGTTTGACAATAACAAGAAATGTTTCCTGACACCAAATCAGCATACATTCTAATATGCGTAATGGCTGTTGAAAATGTATATTTCCTATCACATGAATAAATTAGCCTACATATACATAGAAAACCGTTATTGTGGTAATTTCACAATATTACTGGTTTTACTGCGTTTTTGATCAATTAAATTGGTAATCAACTTTTAAGATCTGTGTGTTATGATTCATCACTTAAAGATAAAAGAACCAACACAACATAATAATGCAAAGCCTTTTATTTGATTTGATAAATTGTAGAGCAAGTACATACAAAAGATGACATCTTTCTTGTTCCTGGAAAACTGAATTTAGCAGCATAGCTATTAACAGATTTAACTGTAAAACAAACAATGCTCTGATTGTACAGAAGCTCAGTCTAAAGCCACAAACAGTGAGGGCCTGCAAGGTCAAAAATAACAACAGCATTTGGTTTGGCCCTCCAGGAGCTTCCATGTATGTAAATACAGCGGTCATAAAAAAAATCATTTCTCTAGTAATAAAAAGCTGTTGAGACTGGTATTATTTGTGCATGTTTAAACTTTGAGGCTAGGCTACATTATTACCATAGTGTGGGGAAGGTAAGTAACATAACTCCAAATCTATGAAGCTATTTGACCTAATCGTACATGTAATCAGACCTACTGTATTTGTAACTCATAATTGTGCATTTTTTGGCCAGCGGCTCAATACTTCGGCCTACCAATGTCTGGCTACCCCAAGTATAGTATATTTCCTTCTTCCTGCTATCATGATTAATGTTAATACAAACATCACCCTGTTGCAACTACAAAACTCATGACATACTGGTTTACAAAACCAAAAAAAAAAATAAAAATAAAAAAAAAGAGAGAACTGTAAACCACTTAACATCTAACTATGTTTAGTAAGACATAATGCAAGAGCATCAAATGTAAAAAAGTTAGAGATAAGAACATAAGGATAAGTTCATCAGCAAGCCTTCCATTCAATGTCCAAGGCTTGAGAACATTGAGATGCATTGTAACATAACATCCAGCAGGTGGCCCCGCTGTATGTGGTGTTCCCGCAAAAAGTGCCACGTCTCCAATGCCAGAGACCCCCCCCCCCCCCCCCCCCC